GATGGAAATTGTGCAACAAGGGAAAAGAGCTTCCTTTGTAATTGCTACTTCTAATAACCAATTTAAAATATATCATTGTCACAAGTCAGGACTGTTGTAACAAAAATTTTAACTTGCAAAGTCCTTAGCATACATAGCACAATGATGTGATATAATTTAAATCCACATTTTCCTTTATCTATAGAAAAAATATAATTTCAAAGAATTTATTGTAGAAAATTACTAAACAACACAGATGATTAAAATGTAATATGAAGGAGCTCTTGGAGATAAGGAAAAGGTCCATATATCCACCTGGATACTTTTAAAGGTAGTGAGTTATGATAGTGATATATTTGAGAAGAAATACTTACACCATCATAATTTTCACTGCTTCCTGTCGAAGGTGATTCCTGTAAAATAATGAAAAAACTTTTATTTTCATATAAAAGGGACTCTTACATGTTCTTAATTGTGAAGAATATAAAATAGAAGAATAAAAATAAGAAGCTACTTAGAGTCTCCAATTTCACCTAAACCAGGGGATGTGCAAGAAAAGAAAAAAAGATGTAACTTTACCTGTTGCTCAAGCAGAAGAGGTTGGAAAAACCCTCCTTGTAAGTACTCATTTTTGTAAGGCAAAATTTTAGATAAAGTTGATTTGCAAAGTCAGCCATTTTTTTCATATTCAAAAATCCCATTATCTGTGCTTTCTTTCTAGATCCTGTACTGGAAGTATCAATTTGCTATGAAAAAGCAATCTGAATTGTATATCTTAGTACTTTAAATAAATGATTTGTATGACTTCAGCTACTTAACATGTATTGCAAAACAAAACATAAGATGGTCCCTACAGAATGATCCTGCAGTGAGTTTCACATTAATAAAATATGGATTTTAAATAGTGTGTTCATTCATACTTTCAACAGTTTCTGCATAAGTAAGGTGTGTAGAGTAAATACACAAAATATTTTCCTTTGGAATGAGCTAATGCATAAACAATGAAGTAGTTAAAGTGCTGAATAGTCACAGGGCACAGTTAGCAGGAGAGTATATATAGTGCCTCATCTTCCCTCCGTTACAGAAACATTTGGAGTTGTAAAGAGGTAGATAAAAGAGAAACAAAAGGTAAAATGGCATTTCCATGGTCATCACTTGAAAATGACAGAAATGCAGAACTCAGTGCACATAAGAACCAACACAACAAACTTAAGCTTTTGATGTAGGAAACAAATAACATTTACCTGACCATAAGACTCAGCACCACTATATGCAGAAGATCCACCCTGGTAAGAAAACATAAATAATTTTCATACTGAGAACAGCTTTTTTTTTTTGACACTGTAGGGATCCCTTCTAGGGAGATTTAAAAAATATGATTATTTAGTTAGTAACCAGAATGGCTATTGAGCAAGTCATTGTTATGTCCTCATAAAACACTAATTTGACATAGTTTTAACTCCAATTCTATTTCCACTTTTGAAGATACCTTCATCTTGCAGGTATTTCAAGCTAGTGTTGTTGAGGAGAATAATCTTTAACAGCTAGAGGCACCCCACTTTTTACTCTCTTACAAGACTTTCAGGTTGCTTAGTTAAAAGTATATAAAAATTCACTCACTCTTCAAAGAAAAAAAAGGCTTAATGAAAATATAGCTTAAGCCAAAATACAGAATGTAACTGCATCTAGGACCCAGGGTATTGGCCCTCAGCACCCTTTATACAAAGAGGAAAAAAGAGTACTTACCTGACCATAGGATTCACTGCTGCCATCATAAGCAGAAGATCCACCCTGTAGAGAAAATAAAAAAAGTTTCATTAGGTTCCCCCAAGAAAGTGTTTTCCATCTTTCAAGGACATTATAGGAGAGAAATAACAGGAGTCTCTTCTCTTTAGGAACAAGGAAGAACACCTACCTGTCCGTAAGATCCACCAGGATAGAAGGAAGGCCCACCCTGCATGGAAAACACAGAAAATTACTGTCTTGTAATCAAACTGTTCTCTCAAGCAATACTTTTAGACTGCTCCTGTGCAGGTACAGTGACCAGAATATTTACCTGGTTACCAGAGTAAGAGCTGTGGGAAGAACCTGGACCACCCTGAAATAAAAACACAGACCAGCTATTTTCCTGCAGACCAGACAAAGAAATACCTGCCTATCTGCTTCTCACTTCATAGAGTATAAGAAATCTTCTGGCAGTAATTTTCTTAGCCTGCTGAAATTTGAATACTGCAAAGGAAACTGCAGATACCATTCTGTACTGTTCTGTACTGTTCTGTCAAGCCTCACACCATTAAGTTACATCAGGGTTAGTTTCTCTGCTCTAAGAGACAACTGTCAGATCATAGAGTATAAGAAATCTTCTGGCAGTAATTTTCTTAGCCTGCTGAAATTTGAATACTGCAAAGGAAACTGCAGATACCATTCTGTACTGTTCTGTACTGTTCTGTCAAGCCTCACACCATTAAGTTACATCAGGGTTAGTTTCTCTGCTCTAAGAGACAACTGTCAGATCTGTAACTGTAGCATGTCATAGCACCCACAATATTGGGAGTGAAGGAACCAGGAGGATGGGAGTCTGCATTATCCTGGCAAGGGAGGAAGAACTACTACCTGTCCATAGGATCCTCCAGGATAGAAGAAAGGCCCTCCCTGTGCAGAAGACAGAATGGGTTACTGGTTTGTATTTGGCTAGGCCTTTGGGGAAGGTTTTAGATGGAGTTTCTGAATAGGGCATTTTATCTGAGTGTTTACCTGGTTACCATAATATGTGCTGTGTGAAGAACCTGGGGCTCTCTGAAATGAAAACACAGACTAGCTATTTTCTTGCAAACAGGATAATGTAAATACCAATGTACCTGACTCTCACTCTAGGCCAATAATATTAAACAAGAAGGAACATTTTATCACTAATTTTCTGGATCATTCCATGGAAGTTGTAAACACAATTTAGTCTTTTCCTCTGACAGATTTCATGTTGTAAATTACATAGAATTGATTCAGTTCTTGGGTATTATGATAGACTCAACTCTTGGGTGTTATATTTCACATCAGCCACTCTACGGGGAACATAAGAGTGGAAATAAAAGATGTTTTTCTTATCTCTAGAAACAAGGAAGAATTTCACATCAGCCACTCTACGGGGAATGTAAGAGTGGAAATAAAAGAAGTTTTTCTTATCTCTAGAAACAAGGAAGAACACCTACTTGTCCGTAAGATCCACCAGGATAGAAGGAAGGCCCACCCTGCATGGAAAAAACAGAAAATTACTGTTTTGTAATCAAACTGTTCTCTCAAGCAATACTTTTAGACTGCTCCTGTGCAGGTACAGTGACCAGAATATTTACCTGGTTACCAGAGTAAGAGCTGTGGGAAGAACCTGGACCACCCTGAAATAAAAACACAGACCAGCTATTTTCCTGCAGACAAAGAGTTTAAATACCTGCCTATCTGCTTCTCACTTTACACCCTTTCTCCAGTTTTGAGCTAATTTTCATGTACCTAAATAAAATTCAAGATCATTCTTGTTAAATTTGAAGAAATCTTCTGGCAGTCATTTTCTGAGCCTGCTGAAATTTGAATTCTGCAAGACAACTGCAGATACTATTCTGTATTGTTCTGTCAAGCTTTATATCACTAAGTTACCTCAGGGTTAATTACTCTGCTCTAAGAGACAGCTGTCAGGTCTGTAACTATAGCATGTCATAGCACCCACAATATTGGGAGTGAAGGGACCAGGAGGATGGGAGTCTGCATTATCCTGGCAAGGGAGGAAGAACTACTACCTGTCCATAGGATCCTCCAGGATAGAAGAAAGGCCCTCCCTGTGGGAGACAGAATGAGTTACTGGTTTATATTTGGCAAGCCCTTCAGGGAAGGTTTTAGATGGAGTTTCTGAATAGGGCATTTTATCTGAATGTTTACCTGGTTACCAGAATCTATGCTGTATGCAGAACCTGGGGCTCCCTGAAATGAAAACACAGACTAGCTATTTTCTTGCAAGCACACATTTACACAAGTGAATCCATTTCTCAATTCCTATTCTTTCCAATAAAGCTTTTGAAGAGTATATTACAGCAAACATTAAAAGAGAATGCTGAGGGTTTTTTTGTTAGAGATAAGGAAACCTTTTTTCTGTTCAGGTTAGAACACCTGGAAGTAGTAGTAACATTAATTTATCTCTTTCTAATCAGAGAATCTTATGTCATACCTTGCAGACTCTGCATTGTTTGATGACCTTGATGATCTTTTTAAAAATTGCCAGAACACTGGGAACTTCCAAAGTGTAAATAGTGTTTAGGGAAGCAGATTTTTCAGCTCATCACTTAAAGAAGGCTATTTTACCAGTATACAACATCCACTATTACTGTCACATCCCCTTTACATACAAAACAGGGAAAGTATTGTTGTATGGTCACACTGCTTCCTCAGATACTCTTTGTAGACTGAGATCTTGCCTTTAGCTGAAGCTTGGAGGAAAAACGGAATAATTGCAGTGTGAGGAATTTGGGGATCCACATATGGAAAACCTTCTTTTCCTTTGTAACAAGGTGGTTGAAATATGTATAGCTTTGACTCTTATTTTATACTATTTTCCAGGTCTGAAGAGACCTTTGTGTAACTCAGAGCCTTTAAATTTAGTAGAAAACTTTTTGCAGAAATTTTCCTCCTGTGCTGAAGAATCTTCAATGAAGTAGATAAATATCTCTTTTATATAAGGTTTATCAATGCTGGTTTATTTATATGTATACATCTACCTATACCTTGCTGTATTTATTCAGAAGAATGAACCTGCCTATCAGGGCCAATTTATTTACATGCTAATCTAGGGCACTGTAGCTGCCACATGTAGAGAACCTGGACAGAAGATGAAGATAAGCTTGTTTATTAATTCCAAATATTCCTTTGCAAAGATCACTGAATTTACTGTTGAGTGAAGGCAAAGATGAAGGCTATTGCTACCTAGTTTATCATAAAGTAATTTGATCAGCTGATATGATCACAAACGGGAAAACAAATCTCCTGTGTATCAAAGTGGACATATCTGCACTGAAAACTGGTTTTCTAAAGTGTCCAATTTTGATGTCTTATTTTCTTCATGTTGAAAATTTTTGTTGATAGCAACTAAATGCACTCTCCTCTCCCCAGCCAAGCTGTGGTGGCTTCCTGGTAAACGTGAAGTCTCTTTTTGCAGCAATTAAAGCATGCACAGAAAACAGCTCTGTTAGAAACAAAACTTGCATAAAGATGTCCAACTTTTTCCTTGCAATTGGATTTGTTTATATAGAATTACAATCATCCAATGAATAAAAAAAGCTTTTCCTCAATGAATTTTCAATATTAGTTATTTAAATAGACTGGTTTGTGTTTTAAAACATGTAGGTCATGGTTACTGCTGGGCCTCAGTTATATGAAAGACATGGTATGTGTTAAAGACAGTTAAGTTCAGAAAGCAGTGATTTTTTTATACAATTGGTTTGTTTAAATAGCATATGTTTTTATAGAAAGAATAATCCACAAAATTATTCTTGTTGAAATTGAAAATGAAAAAAATGTTGCACCATTCAAATGGGTTTATGTAAACACAGCTTCAATAAAAGCTCAAAAACTAAGTACTCTGATAGAAGATAGGTGACTTGAAAATCCAAGTTCACCTGGCTTTGCCAGGTGAAGCCAGAAGCCTGGTCAAGCTAGTCTATAATTTGGCCTTTTTCCTGGCATGGAGGCATGGCCTAAGAGAAAGGTTTATCCAGTAGAATTGGCAATGAAATTGCAGTGGTTCTCTTTATGGGAAAGAACTGTTCAAATGTCAATTTAAGAGATTACAATTTGATATATTTATCAGATTTTGATATTTTAGTCACGGTGTTTATTCACACCAGCAAGAAAGACAAAGAAACTAAGCTGGATGCAATTGAATTCTGTGGTTACTACAAGACTAGTCTTCAAAAGTAAGGAGAAATTAGCACATAACACTCAAGTGACAGAGCATCTGGATCACCAAGAATGTTAGTGGCAAAATGGTAGTTATATGGTAAAGTGGAACTCATTTTTCCATTTCATTGTGTATCATTCTACCTATACTAAGGAAATCAACAATAATGTTTAGTGTTAACCAAGTGTCCATAGGTGATTAATTCAAGATACTCCATTATGCAGATGGAAGTATAAACTCAGAAGAACAATTACCTGTCTGTGACCACTGCTTCCATCAGGACAAACACAGCCACCCTATAAATCAAAAAAAAAAAAGGAAACAATCATTGCCTTGTGGAAGTTTAAAATAAAATCTTATTTGATATGATTAACTCAGGGGAAGAAAGACTGTGGGACTACAGAGCAGCTGTGACCTTTCCTATACCTAGAACAGATGAGGGGACAGCACAGCTCTATACAATTAACATTTGCTTTGCAAGTTATGATAGTGCATCTCTCAGTGCTGTCTCAGCAATAGATGCCTCATAAAGAGAGAATTATTTGGGTATTCAAGAGTACAGAGAATCACCATTGTGCTCTCAGCAATAAAATGGACATGAAATTGAAACTGTTAAAAAGTGATTTCAGAGAGCCATTTCTTCATTTAATCTGAACAGGATAATTTCATTTACATAATGCAGAACATCACCAATCCCCTGTGCAAAACTACTGTACTTAAACTCTGACTCCTGAATTTAATGGGTTCAAGTACCAGGAAGCTACTTGGCCAAGACAAGTCAAAAATAAATAAAATCCTGACCTGATTACTTGATCCACCACTGGTTGCCACAAATGATCCACCCTGTGAAGAAAACAATTATTATTTATCAAAGCATTTTGTCAGAATTTAACATATAAAATTATGTAGTAAGAAGTAAGGTGACACACTCTATTACTTCCCTGCACCAACAAATATTATCTGTTGAATCATTATGAAAACAAACTTGAATGATGCCTAATCAGTGACTTGATACAATACACAAGGAATGGATATCAGGAAAAATAATTAAGGAAACTGTTACTTTCTGGAGCTTAGAGATGTCAGTGACTTGATATAATACACAAGGAATGGGTATCAGGAAAAATAATTAAGAAAACTGTTACTTTCTGGAGCTTAGAGATCTGTCTGCACTATTGAATTAGACTTCAAACTCTCTGAGACAGAGGACTATGCTGGTATTAAATCTACATAATGCTGGGCATAGCAGGATCGTAGTTCTCTGGGAAGCTGATAGGTACCAATACAATATAAAATATTAAGAAAAACAATCACATGCCACTCTGGATCAGCTAAATTTCACATAATTCTCCAACATATACACTTCTGCAGCAGCACATAATCCTACAGAATATGAAAGTTGAACCTACATTTGTAACAGAAGTACATAATCCCTAAGATGTATCTTCTTGCCAAATTCCAAATGAAACAACCGATCTGGCCATTACCATCACTAGAGCAGGACAGTTTATAAGAAAAGATTCTAAAACTATTTCATTTGTGTTTTGTAGATTACTTTTACAAAATATTATGTAAAGAAACACCTGCAATGCTTACCTGCTTAGTGGAGTGAAGGAACAGAAGAGACTGTATACTCTGGGCCCATTATCACTATTTGCAACGTTGCAAAATTATAACACTATAGAGAAAATGCTACCAAATCAAACTAGCATCCTTCAGCACAGAACAATTAGTGGAACCTAACTTTTAGAATAAGATATAATTTATCAGAAAGCTCCTTGCAATGATATTGTGCAGCTCACACTGTGTTATTACCTGGACACCATCGTGACTGCCATTCGAAGGAGAAGATGAATTCTGTGAAGAAACAAAAAATGACACATTTTTCCATAAGGGTAATAATTAAAGCACATAGTTCTATTAGGAAAGAACTACCTAGCCCTAAGCAGAAATCCCTGTTGTGGAAACAGGATCCTTCTTCTTTTTATGGGTAATACACCAAGGAGCTGTAACACCAACAGGAGTCAGAAAAAGTGACAAGAATGGCTTACCAGTACATCATAGGCTCTTTCATTTAAAACATGTGATGTATCCTGTAAAAAACAATAACATTCACTATTAGGAGGTGAAAGCTCTATGATAGGCCTTCTATTTTTTTTTACATATTATTTATAACAACTCCAGACCCTTTAGTGCATGCGTTGAGAAGGAATGCCTTATTATAGAATAAGAAAAGGTTATTTGCACATGATTTTTGAAGGCTACTACTGAGTCTGACTTGAAGCTGCACAATATACATATCCACATCTCCTCCATAACATGGTGAGCACAATGAATTACCAACATTATTATTTCTTACTTCACTATTCTATCTTCCTTCAGCTAAAATTTCAGCTGTCCCCTGCTTATATGACACTGTAACTTTTACTCTAGTTTGGACCAACTCTGTATGTGCTTAATGAAGAACAGGAATTTGAGCTGCCCTATACTTCAAAGAAGGATTTTCATGTTGTTTTTTTTTTAAATATATATGATTCCTTTAAAGAAATTCACCCATAGAGCAAATAGGCAAGTAGTTTTATTTTATTTTTTCCTTAAGTAGGAGACTATTAATTAGAGGAAAATTAGGCTTAATTAGGACAAATCAGGTATAGTTAGGGCTAAAATCCTACATGAAGTCAAAAAAAGAAAGAAAACAAAGGTTACTTACTCGGGCAACAAGAACCTTCTTCTTTGCACAACCAGAACGCTGTAAAGGAGCCAAAAGTCTGTTATAACTTTATAGGTGCAATCATCTACACAAAATACTTCAGCAAAAATCTACCTAAACTTGTCAAGGTGATATATTTTGGAACAGGAAAATGTCTGGAGCTTTCATTTTAATATCAGTAGGAGTCTTAAAAAGCATATTCTTTGTCTGCTTTCACTTTTATCTCTCCTTCATCAAAAGTTCCTGCCTTGTGGACTCTCCCTCAGCTGAGCCACTGTGGTTTAGAGAGCAATCAGTGTAGTGATTTAAAAAAATTTTTTTTAACATTCCCCATCCTTCTTCATGAGACAGTTTAGAACCAAACTCTTTTACAATGAAATCCACCAATACAGATTGGATAGGGAGGAAATAACAGCATCTTTTGGGAATGAAGGAGGAAGTGCTGAGGCTCCTAAACAGGGTTTGCTGCTGAAGGATTTTTTTTCAGAACCTTTTGAATTGCATGCAATGCATTCAAGGTAAATACAAGCCAAAACAAAAGATGTTTTCAGAAGGCCTCCTTACTTCCTACAGTGTGCTGAAGTGCTAAAGCACTACAGAGGAAAAATAGGGAAAACAATGAAGCAGCAAAGTGTATGGCTGACAGCTGAAGGCAAGGCAAGGCAAGCAGCTGATGACAGAAGGTTACTCTAGATGGCAGTAAAACAAACAGCTGATGACAGGTTACTCTAGATGGCAGTAAAACAAAAGGAGGCTGTGCCGGATGGAAAAAGCTCTTCTATGAACAGAAGTACCAGAAAATGTAATTTATTTACACAGCAATATATTTGCTTGGTCACAATCTATCCATGTTAATCACTTTCTGTTTGTAGGACAGACGGAAAGTCTTGACAGAGAGCATTACTAGGGGTCAAATGTTACTTTACAGCAACAGCAGATAAATGAGTTTAAATTGGAACAAGTGAACACAGCTTGAGGTGGCTACATGCCTCATGGACTCAGGTGGTTTATTCCCAAATAACTATCCAGTCAATGTGCATATACCATGAAGAAAATGTGTTAGTATAAATTTTTAGAAGTGTTTTGCAGTTTTAAATGATTGTGCAGAAGCCTTGAGCACAGAGAATTAATTAACTTTTTGAAGGTACTATAAAGCAATCATACATTACAGTTAGAGGTCCATGGGTCTAATGTAGAAGTGTTCAGTTAATAATGTTGCTATTAATCATAAGAATTTGAATACTACAGAAGAAACAAAGTACTTACCTGGCCATTGGCACTGTAGGTAGAGTCATTCTGGAAAAGAAAAAATGATTTCCTTTTTAACCATTATTTAAATACAGGAAGCTTACAGAAATCTGATTGTTTCTGATACTGCATACAGGCATAAAAAAATCACTTCTTGCTCACATTCTTCACAGCCTGTCTAAATTAGTCTAAGATCCTACCATTCCAGTCTGAAAAACACTTTAATAGCAACTTCAGACTGGTAGAAATGTAACATGAAAAGCAGTGGAATATCTGTCACTTCTTCAATTTGCTGTATGTATTTAAAGATTTTCTTTCAGATTTGCTTTTTAAAAAAGATTACTGCAAAATGTATCTTTACATTTTTTTGGAAAATATTCTGTTACTGCAAAGCCACTGAAATATTTTTAATCATATTTCATCAAGGTAAATGCATTTAAAACCACAAACTGCATCTGTGAACACGTGTCACAGTTTTCAGCAAGAAAAGATGCAGTTGCTCAAACAGCTGTTAGTGTGGGAAGTCAGCATTCTTTCTGGATCATTCTGCTCACAACATTGCATCTAGCAGTGCAATATTTTCTCAACTATATGCAAATATGGTAGAGAAACCACACTCACATCATCACAAGCGTTGGGATTATTGCTTGAGAAATCTTGGGATTCCTAGAAGGACAACATATACCAGTTATTTCCTCACAAAAATGGATGGTTAAAAATACTCTCTGATGTTGTACTCTGCAAGGCAGAATAGAGGCTCATGCAAAGAAAAAGCTGAGTTAAATTAAAGTAAGATCTTTATAAGGACAAAAAGGAGTGAAAGACATAGTTGCTATAGTTGCTTACAGGGAATGTTCTAATCTTTAGTAAAGAAAAAAAAACTAACCCAGAACCAATCCAAGACAAGAAGAGCACAGAAACGATTATGTTTTATTACATCTTTGAGAAAGACAATGCAGGGACTAAAGGGACTACAAGTTACATTAACTAGGAGAAAGAAAGAACTAGTTACCTGACCATCATAATAGCCATCTGAGGAGGATGATCCACCCTTCAAAACAAAGAAACCAACCAAAATCAGAGAAAATTAGAATATAGAAAACCTGACTTTGAACAGAGACTAAAGCTTATATTAAGTGATGTATAAGTAGAGAAATAGAGTACTACTTACTTGGCCACCACCATAGTTTTGTGAGGATCCATCCTAAAAGACAAACAAATATAAGCCCTACTTCAGAAGAAACTGGGATTTTGTTTGGGGGCTGTAAAGCTGGAATAAACTATTACCTAGGATTTCTTTGAACAAACACAACTTTCAAGATATCTAGATATAACTTAATAAACATAATAAAAAATCTTACAGGAGAAAATCAAGGTCTACCTACCTGGTTGTCACCATAATATCCACCCTGATAAGAAACAGCAACAAAAAAATAATTAGAATCAATATTACAATAATGCAGATTGGATATTGATCAGCCAGCATGGAAGTAAAACCTCATAAAACCTCACTGGGAGGAAATAATAACCTAGTACTTACTTGGTTACCACCATAGTTTTGTGAGGACGATCCACCGTAGTTCTGTGAGGAGGATCCACCATAGTTTTGTGAGGATGATCCCCCGTAGTTTTGTGAGGATGAACCACCCTGTGAAGACAAACCAGGAACAGTTATAATGCTGGAGAACTGAATTTGATCAGAATGCACAGAGCTATCTTAGGTTGCCAAGTTCTTTCTATATATGTGGAATTTCAGGCTGGAGCTGGGGAGACTCTCAAGAGTCTATACCCTCATGAACAAGAAAACTGTTCTCTAGATTAGAACTGCTTAAAAGGTTTGTACCAATGGATAATAAAGAGCTACCTACCTGACTGCCCTGTGATCCACCCTAGAGATCAGAAAAAAATTATGCATCCTTTAGACACTGTCTATGGATTATTTTTAATGAAAGTTACAATATTGCTTCAGAAGAGTAAGAAGCAGAGGTAGATATACAATATAGATATCATTTCTAATGTAGTAGACACAGATTGCAAATAGTGCAAAGGTAAAGATAAGACATATATCAAGGAACCACAGACATTTAACTTGAAGTAAAGCCTAGTACACAGATAAGTTTCATTCTGAACAGTCTCTAGAGAATGCATTTTTTTTTCTTCTGTTGAAAACCGACTTTATACGAATGGAATGAAAAGCTCCCCTGGTAGCAATATTGTACAGAAGGCTGTGATCTGTGAGATACAGTGACCTCAAGGAAATGGTTTTAAATAAAGCACTTGGTATGTTTCAACATGCCCTCTTTAGAAGAGGACTGTAACTCCTCCAAGTGAAGTCAAAAGAGATATTTATAGAAGTATTAGTGTCAAAAGTACATAGTAAGAACAGTGAAATCCTGAGCTATTGAAGTGAGTGGAGTATTTGTCATTCACTAAAATGGGACTCAGAAGAGGCAAAAAAAATGAAATGAAAAGTATTATCTTTCAAGTTCTATCAGAGTTTAGAAAAAAATTAAGCATTTCCTTTAGTCTTAGAAAGAAGCAACTCCTCTTTACAGAAAAAGATTGAAAAGCTATTATAAAAATTATATATCTATATATTATTATTTCTAGTCAAAATAATATATTGCAGTGCATGGTATATACTATACCACATTATAATAATATGGTGCAGCAATATCTATGTTGTTTGCATGTTTATAAATATAGTACATATTTATATTGATAAAAATGGTATTTGTTGATCCAATGAATCTATCAGATTTTACTATTTCTTGTGAAAATTCAGCAAGAATCAAAAAGAAGTATCACAAACAAAAAAGAAATTGTGTTGTTTTCTTACTAGTTTTTAACATCACAGAGATTACTTCTTCAAACAGAGATTACTTCTTCAAACATAGCTGACAACTTTTAGGATAGTGGTTTTTAGAGTTCCAACACTGAAACTCCTAACAAATACACATGTAGCTGTCTATAGTTCACTGCACAACCTGAATGAGTTGTTAAGCCAGTCTGTTTCAGGAACCTCAAGTGGCAGTCCTAAAATATTTTCTGGCTTTTGACAGGAAAAGTCCACAGAGAGGCTGCTGAGCTCCAGCCCTGATTTAAGTTGTGCCAGTTAAGCAACTCTGCAGCAGACTTGTTCTTTCCAGAATCTGGCCTTAATGTCCTATAGAGCTAGACATTTCACATACATAATGCTAGGAAAAAGAGGAAGAAAAGACCCCAAAGCCGCTGTGATGATCCTGTGTATAGGAAGATAGTGATTTCCAATCTCATAATTGGTAAGATTACATTGATTTGCACTATATGAATATGAAGTTGATACTAATTGAGTTAGTGGCAAAACTAATTTTGAGTGCATCTGAAAATAAGAGGAGAAAGACCATTTACCTGGTGGCAGGGATTGCTATCATATGAAACACCCTGTTAAAACAAACAAACAAAAAGGTAAATGCCCAAATTTTCATTTTTCTTGCAAAGCAATTAGCTTTCTTAAAACTTCTAAACTGAGAACTAATGTAACAAAACTCAACATAAAACTTTACAGAGCGTGAGTTTAATTTTATTTAATCCTTTAAGTGTGTGGCTTTACCCCCTGTCACTCCCATACCCACATACTGACAAGCATCAAGACATATGCACACAGGTGATCAAAGGACTACTTGTGAGCCAAATGGAAAGAGAGGTAGGCTGGCAATTGATGTCTCTTTGTATCACCCTAATTTCTCTTGATTGGAAAGATGAACTGCTGATGAG